TATATATATATATATATATATATATATATATATATATATATATTCCAAAGTCAAAAAACAAAACTCTGAAATCTGAAACACCTCTAGTCCCAAGCATTCAGGATAAGGGATACTCAACTATATTAGCTACTTAATCTTGATGTATTCTTGTGAGAGGAGAAACAGTTAAAATAAATGATAGCAGTGATTATTCTTAAGGATGAAATATCATACCTGGTTCAAAATAACATCTGTCCTAAGGAAGATGAATAACAGAGGTTCAGGTTGTTCCTCAAGTGTGATTGGCTGAGGGATATGTTTGACCATATGGAGATAAGGAACATTCAGGTGAGAAGAAAGTGACTTTTGGAGGGATGCAGTATAGGGGATGTGGTGTGTCACAGCATACATTTTGAATATAAACATTGAACAACAAATGTGCACCAGGCACACTTCTATGTGCTCATCAGTTAACAAAGTATAGTGTATATGTGTGCATAAAACCTCTCAGTATATACCCTTTTCTCCTTGGGCCCTGTCTCCCTTTTCTATCCTAGGCACGCTAGTCAGGGGTAGCTCTTTGTCAGTGACCAAGAAAGGGCCAGGAAATTTGTGGGGAACCCTACAAGGAACCGGCTTATCCCATGATTTTATTCCCATTAACTTGATGTGTGCTTTCTCTTCCCTCCAGAGCCCTGGCTCCATGGAGTTCGGGCTGCTCAGCGAGGCAGAGGCCCGGAGCCCTGCCCTATCGCTGTCAGACGCCGGCACTCCCCATCCTTCGCTCCCAGAACACGGCTGCAAAGGCCAAGAGCACAGCGGTGAGCACGCCCCCTCCTGGGGATGTAGGACTTAACAACTCAGCTTCTAATCGGGTGTGACCCTGCGTGGCCGCCTGGGTGGGAGCAAGCGGGCGGTTGAGGAGGTTCCAAAACCCTACAATTCGCTCAGGCCTGGACGCCCTGTGACCTTACTCTCCCCCGCCATCCCCAGACTCGGAGAAGGCCTCTGTCTCGCTGCCCAGTGGCTCTCCCGAGGACGGCTCACTAAAGAAGAAGCAGCGACGGCAGCGCACGCATTTCACCAGCCAGCAGCTGCAGGAGCTGGAAGCGACCTTCCAGAGGAACCGCTACCCTGATATGAGCACGCGCGAAGAGATCGCAGTGTGGACCAACCTCACCGAGGCCCGCGTGCGGGTACTGCCTACCTGACCCTCAACCCTCACTAGCCTGGGCCTCCCTCCTCCAATCCCCTCCGCAGCTGTGGTTCTGAAGCCCTGCCTGCTCCACCTCGAGGCCAATACCCGACACCCCGTGTTCGGAATCGGGACACCCCCATTCCTGCCCTCCAACCTTCAGTCTCTGCTTTTACCGTTCTCTACCACTGGCCAGCGCGTGTTGCTTCTTCCCCGACCCGATCTCTGTGTTTCTTTCCTTACCCATCTTTGATCCATCTTACTGTCCCCCCAGACCCTGAGGCTGCTGACTGTCTTCTACCACCCACAGTTTCTGTTCTCGGGTGCCTGGCCCCCTGCGCTTTCAACCTGTCCCCAGCCACCTCGTTTCGTTTATCCTCCGAAAGGCTCGGGTTGGGACCTCAATCCCCGCCTGGGTGCTCCACTTATCAACCACTTGGCTGGCCCCCAGCCCCATCCCACCCTGAATCCTAATAGCTTTTCTCCCACGCCCGCAGGTGTGGTTCAAGAACCGACGCGCCAAGTGGCGGAAGCGCGAGCGCAGCCAGCAGGCAGAGCTGTGCAAGGGCGGCTTCGCAGCGCCGCTGGGGGGGTTGGTGCCGCCCTATGAGGAAGTGTACCCCGGCTACTCGTATGGCAACTGGCCACCCAAGGCGCTCGCCCCGCCGCTCGCCGCCAAGACCTTCCCGTTCGCCTTCAACTCTGTCAACGTGGGGCCTCTGGCATCGCAGCCCGTTTTCTCTCCACCCAGCTCCATCGCCGCCTCCATGGTGCCCTCAGCCGCAGCTGCTCCGGGCACTGTACCAGGCCCCGGGGCCCTACAGGGCCTGGGCGGGGCCCCTCCCGGGCTGGCTCCGGGCGCCGTGTCCTCTGGGGCAGTGTCCTGTCCTTACGCCTCGGCCGCAGCAGCCGCGGCTGCAGCCGCCTCTTCTCCCTACGTATATCGGGACCCATGTAACTCGAGCCTGGCCAGCCTGCGGCTCAAAGCCAAACAACACGCTTCTTTCAGCTACCCCGCTGTGCCCGGGCCACCCCCAGCTGCCAACCTCAGTCCGTGCCAGTACGCCGTGGAACGGCCAGTATGAGCGACGGGCGGGTGGATCATCCCTTTGGGTGGGGTCAATAATTCACAGCTTCCCCGGACTGGGGTCGTCTAGACTGGTTTGCCCCCGCCCCAGTGTCTGAGAGGGGTTCACGAGCAGCTGGGAGGCGGATAGCTCAGGAGCACTCCATCCCCTTCACGGCTCTAAGGGGTGAACTGGGCCCTACAGGCAGATCACGACCCTGGAACTAAGTCCTGGAATAGGGACCAGCCCCCCCTGGGCCAACTCACCCTTGGCCCATCCCACCTTCTCCAGACTCCCTCTACTCCGTTTTCAAAGATAAATGAAATAAATGTGCGCGGACTGTCAAAGGCCTGATGATTCAGAGTTGCGGTTGAGCCCTCATCCCTTCAACCTCCCCCATTGTCTAAAAGAAATCTGGATGCAGAGGAAGGAGGTGAAGGTCCAGGCTTCTGGGGCTTCAGTCCCATTCACTCCCCTAAAGAATGGGGAAACCAGGACTCCTGGAGCAAAGGTGTGCACGCGTGTGTGGAGTTGAACCAGCTATTTCGCTGGCATCGGTCAAAGCTGGTGCTGCGGCGCCACCTCGTGGTCTCAGGGAGAACAGCTGGTAGGTCTTTCCAAAGTTTGCAAGGGTCAATTCTGCAACTTAGGAAGCTTAAGACTTTGAGATAACGTTACTCCGCCTTTCTGCACCCGTTTTTCACTGTTCCTAAGAGGGGCTTGAACCTCTAACAGCAATAAAATTATGGTCTGTAACAGACATTTATTAAGTGCCTACAGGCCTAGGATTGTTATTGTCTGTGTGTGTGCCTCATCCTTCCTCATACCCCTCAAGCCACCCACCTGCAGATCACCGTATTACCAGCAGCCTTCTCCCATCACAAGAGCCCACTTCTTCCTTCAAATCCCTAAGCTCCATCTTCCATCTGGTTTGCATGCTTAATTTAAAAATAGAACAAAAAGGAGAAAGATTTCTGGATAGAAATATAAATAACTCAGCTCTCGGAGCCCATCCAGTCCTAGTGCCTTCCCAGGGCCTCCTTGGCCTTCACTCATTCATTAAAGTACCAGACCACACCCTTACCCCAAGGGTGACACCTCTTGTCTGTGATAACTTCCTGCCACCTTGGCGCACATTTCCCATGGGGAAATAATGCAGGGAAATCTCCCTAATCATTCTCCCAAACCTAAGCCCAGCCCCTTAGTGCCCTTTTGGAAGAGGAAATCTGAGGCTCTTTCTCTCCAATCCTTCACTGACTTTTGGCCATGGCTTTGACCTTGGGCCTGAAGTAGGTTTGTCGGAAGAAGTGGGCAAAGATGATGAAATAGGTGGCATACAAGACAAAGGACCAGGCGAATTCTTCCACTGTGATGTAGCACCCTTGTTCCTGCCTCCAGATGAAAGTCAGGATGCCAATGATGGCTCCTATAAACATCTGCAGGATCTGCAGGCTGGTGATGAGCATTGAAAGCATCCTGGGGCACTTCACTTTGGCAGCCTTCAGAGTGTAATAAGTGTACATAATGGCATGTACACCAAAGTTCATGGTCATGAACCAACCACCTGAAGGTACTTTGTTCTTGTATCCAAAGCTTGTGTATAGTAGCACTGTGCTGTGGTGGTACCAGTGCACAAAGATGAGTGGTCGCTTGCGCAGGATGATGAAGGCTGTGTCTCCTGGGAGATAAGAAGTCATAGCTGGCAAACCTTCCAGTGCTGGGACCACCCTCTACATTGGGTGTAGGGGCCCAGGAGGAATTCTCAGGGTGGGGAGGAGTTTTCATGGCAGAGAACCTGAAGAAGGGCTTAGGTGATATGTGTTGTTAGGACCTATGGGTGGGGAAGGTATTCTCTATATGATGAGTGAGGGGAGGGCTCTGAGGAAGGGTGCAATTCACTGGGCACCAGAGAGACAAAGTCTTGGCACTCACCGAGTTCAATGATCTTGCTGAGAAGAAAGACACAGGACCAGAATCTGATTGTGGCATTTTCAATGTAGTTGGTGAAGCACACAGTTTGCTTCAGGCCCCCCCTAAGTAGCACAGTCCCCATATAGCCCCATGTTCTCACTGCCCCCAGGATACTGAAATGGAACAGAGAAAGAGAGTGTAAGGCATCAATCCACCCTTTCCCCCTAGCTTGACAAGGTCACTAAGTCTTGTGCTCCATCACCTCCTTACCCTTGCAGGGGGAATAGATCACATATTCTGAGATCCTGGAGCCAATTTGATAGATTCATCCAGTATTCCACAGGAAATGAGGGTTGGAAAATACCAGGGAATGTGAAGGGAGCTGAGATTGAAAGTAGAGTTAGTGTTCTTGGGATGGGGTGGAAGCCTAAGAAGTGAGTAGCAGTTTGGGGAAAATCAAAGGATTTAGGGGAAGAAAACAAGGGAAGGAAGGACTGGGACAGTATTGGAAGAGGGTGTTAGTTGCTGACAGTATTAGAGGCTGGAGAAATACATACATACATACATACATACATACATACATACATACATTTTTTTGGTACAGGTAATTGAACTGAGGGGTGCTTAGCTACTGAGGTACATCCTAGACCTTTTTATTTTTCATCTTTTTTTTAAAAGAGAGAGTGAGAGAGGAGAGGGAGAAAGAGAGAGAAAGAATTTTTAATACTTATTTCCTAGTTCTCGGCGGACACAACATCTTTGTTGGTATGTGGTGCTGAGGATCGAACCCGGGCCCACGCATGCCAGGCGAGCGCGCTACCGCTTGAGCCACATCCCCAGCCCTTTATTTTTCATCTTGAGAGAAGATTTCGCTAAGTTGCTTAGGGCCTCAATAAGTTGCCAAGGCTGGCTTTGAACATGTGATTCTTCTGCCTCTGCCTCCTAAATCTTTGGGATTACAGGCATGTGTCACTATGCCCTGCTGAGGCTAGAGAGATTTGGAAGTACAGATTCCATGAGTGCAAAAGGGATGGAGCAGAAATTGCCAGGTTGGGGTCTAGAAAAGAAGGAAAAGAGGGCAATATAGAAGAAGGTAAGTTGGGAGTCAATAAAACTGAGTTTCTGGAAAGTTTTAAGGGATGGAATGGAGGTCTAAATACTAGGTAGGAGGAGGGACTACCTTACCTGAAGATTGCAAGGCAGAAGGACCAGAGGATGAGAGGTCCCTGCAGGTTGAAGCCTTTCCGATCCTTCATGTAGTTCTGCCCCACAACAATGAGCAGCAGGTATATCAGAACTATGAAGAATGAGGTTGTCCTGGCAGGCAGAAGGCAGAGATGGGCTAAAAGGTGGCTGTTGGTCAGAGAAATGCCCACTCATCTCTCCAGGTTAATGTCTAGATTAGAGTTCCAACTCTGCCACTTACTAGCCATGTGATATTTTGGTTTTCTTATTTGTAAAGGTGGTGGGAGGGAGGTCCTCTCTTAACCATGTTAATTATAACACAGGGTAGAGGCTATATCCAAGGTGATTATTGCATTCTTTATTAGGCTGGAGACTGATGACCATTGGCCCATGACCCAGGGCTGTTGTGTAAGAATGTGGCAATAGCTTCTGCATTGGTTGGTTTGTGGCAAATTGGCTTGAGCACAAAGTCATCCCAAAGACACCTCTGGGGTAGCTTTAGGGCTAAGCCAGAGAGCCCGGGGAAAGCTTGGAAGAACTCCTTGGTTTTGCTTCAGTCTCCACAGAAAAGATGATGGGGCTTTTAGGGAGCGTGATAATTAAGTAGAGCAGGTTGGAGGGGTTCTAATCAACCTCATTCTTCAACTACCCGTTCTCTCTACACTCTTTCTTTGGCTTCTGTCTCCTCCCACACCCTGCTCCCCATACTCATTTCTGCATCCTTTCTTCTAGCTCTTATCTCTTCGAGGTGCCACACTACCTGCATCTTGGACAACGATGGGTTGGAGCTAGTATGAGGGATCCTATAACTTTGCTCTTTAAGAAAATCATTGCTGGCCTTCAGCCTACCCCTCGGGGGGACCCTCGCCGGGACCAAACAGTAGGGTCTGCAAACCGCACACACACACATCTGGCCCTTCCCCATTCCCAGGTCTCACCAGTATTCTTCTAAAAAGGGCCTTAAATCCTGGAACGTCTCGAAGTTATAGGGCTGGAACAGTTGCCCCACTTCGTGCGAAACATTCATAGCTGTGACCATTTGGCTCTGCAGGCGTCCAGGTCCAGGGCTTGGAGGGCTGATAAAGAGACTGCGGGGCTGAGGACAAAATGAACCTCAGAGCGGGACCGAACGCAGCCAGGACAGAAAGAAAATTCCTGGGAGAGGCAGGAGGGGCTCGGAACCGGGTGGGAGCTCCAGTCCAGCCGGCTCGTGCCGCCGCCGCCGCCGCCGCGGTATATAACGCGAATTGCTGAACTGCGGGCCTGACTGTGCTCGGCCCCCTCCCCGCGCTCGGCCGTTATCCAATCTTGGCCGAGATACGCCCTGGTCCCGCCTCTGGGCCGCACCCTTCCCTGCATCCATCATCCCTAAGGGCCCCGCCCCTAGGCGCCCGCCCCGCCCCGCGAGGCTCCGAATCCTGTAGTGAGCCCTGGCCCCGCCCACTTTGCCACCCTTTTCTCCATCATCACTTCCACTGCACCTGCTTGACTCATCCTCCACCGCCTCGCAGAGAACTCTGCCCTGCCGGCCGTAACCTTTGACTCAGCTTGCTTTAATCTTAACCTTCTTGGCAGTGAGAATAAAGTGGAGGTGTCCTTGGCCATGGTGCCCTCACCCAGAGATGGGGGAGGCAGTTTCCAGGATCCTTGAGATAATGGGGAAAATAGGCGTGGGATGAGGAAGAACTAGGCTGGGCAATGAAGAGCTCCTGTAGTCCCTTCTGCCTCCGAGCTTTGGATCTCTGGTTGTGGGTGGAGGGAGATGAACTTTAATCAATTTCATTATTGAGGTTGTTGATGTTGACGTTTGAGGAGACGGTTGTTGAAGCTGTTGTGGTTTCTTTATAGTTTCCTGAATTCCTGAACTGCTCCTGTCTGACACCCAGTAATAACCTTGCAGAGGAAATGGGGTCACCCCCTGGGCTTCTGAAATTATTGTGTTTGGGTTTCCTAAAGGTCTCCTAGGGTTCAAGGAACCAGAGATCTAGTGCATCTCCCCAAGGCCTGCTGTTTTCTCTCTTCAGTCTGTGCTTGTCTAATAAAATCTAACTCTTTTCCCCCTATGTGCCCAGTCCAAAAGAAAGAAATGTTTTAAAACTTTTAAGAGCTTACCTGGCTATTCCTTATTTCTCTCCTACACTTTATAAAAACAAAAGAGAACTATAAGACTTGAGGCAGTTAGAGATAAGATGGAAATTTGCAAGACAAGTGCTAAGAAAAATAAATACAAAATAGTTAAAATCAAGATATG